TATATATATATGCGGGCGCTTTCCTTTATATACATATTTTTTTTCAACTTTTGTGTAGAACTTGTATCGTCGCATTTCGCATACGCCACGTGCACATGATACCGGTTCCAGTAAAATACGGTGTACGCTTTGGGTTTTTCGAAGAAGATTGAATAACTACTTGTGCAAAGGCTCAATCTTCCTTCGCACGTAACATCATCTCTTTCGTTCACACAAATTCCCATTAAAAATCCTAAACGGAGATCCAGATCCTGAAAAAAAAATTTACGATTTGATTTGAATATTTTATTCTTCGAATTCTCTCGGTTCGCGCGAATGTCATAATTCATATTTATTCATCAAAAAATGACGTATCTCGCGAACGTTCGTGAGTCGTTTCAATCGCGATGATAACTCACGAAACGTGTGTCGCATTTCGCCGAAGGAGGAGGAACGTTGATGACTCGAATGTACATAATATAATAGCGCAACTTCGGGGTCTTATGCGAGGACCTTGATGCGGGGCCTTATTTGGTGGACAAGGTCGAGGCGTCTCTCTCGGGTCATTGGGTCTTTGGAACACGCATAACAGAGTTAATTATTTGATTCAAAAGATAGAGATCGAGATGCCGGACAAAACTGTTGTTTTTTTCGTGCTATGTCATCGATTAACAAGCCAAATTTGATTGAATCGATATGCATGGTACATATCATGTATATGATAATTACATTGAAACGAAACCGCTGCGTTTAAATGACTCGAATATAATCGGACTTCCGTAATGATGTCGAAACACGCGTTCATTATGAATGAATCAACTATTCCGTGATGTATCGGTGGAATCTATATAGTATGGCTCCGAATCGTCCAACATCTCAGGGCAGATCTACATCCGCTTTTTCATGTATATCCGTGGCCGATCACGTGCTCGGCTACGCAAGCACGCGAGACAGCTTCGAGAAGGAGCGTATCGATTTTGAAGGGGGCCTCTCTTCGCTCCGCAGCGCGCTTGCATCGGTAGGTATATCTGTATTAAACGACACACACACAAGCGCGCGCAAGCCCGTAAGGGCCCGGCATGACGTGGCGAAAGAGTGCAACGCACCCTTGCATCCCTGTCCTTGAATCTATTTTTACCGACTCCGTTGCGTTTATAAGAAAAGGGAGATAAAAGAACATGTATCTCTTGTAATGATTTTTAACGACGCTTCTCGCGTCTAGATTTTAATTCGTCAAGTATCTCAATGTGCGTTGTAAGAAAAATGCATTACGATTTTTATTATCATCCATTTATCGAGAAGCTTACAATTTTATTGTAACCAGAGAATTTAGTAGATTTTTCGGCGGCGCCAATAATAGTAATCGAAACGCTCAATGTTTTATACATTGAATTTCAATTGACAATTATAGATGTCACACACATTTTTGGAAAGAATTTTTTAATAACCTTCCTCGTATATTATATTGGCCTTTTATTATTCCTTTTAGATATTTTTCAACACAAGGAGCCTTTCTATTTATATTTATTAATAATAATAATGTTTCCGTGTTTTTTCCGGAACATTTGAAAACTACTCAACAATTTGAAACTTTCGAAAATCGTTAGCGAGGCATGGCTATTGCTGACAAAAGAGAAAGAAAGAAAGAGAGAGAGAGAGAGAGAGAGAGAGAGATAAGAGATATATAATTTCATTTCGATAATCTTTGACATTAGTAAATCGATATGCGCCAAACTTACTCGAATATCTTTAAGAATTAAAGTACGCCATATAAAATGTTGGAAATCCTACGTCATCGTCGATAATGTACGATGTCGCGAAATCACGCAGGCAGGTAGCCCGCGAACAAACCCTTACGCCTAGTGTATACTTCCAAGAGACATTATGCTCTCTCTATCGTACGATTTGAAGCGGCATTTGGAGAATCTAGCCGCTAGCCGGTTGGCGGACCAATCACCGCGTCGCTCTCGTTTTATGCCCATATATGGCAAGAGCTGTGAATCTGCACGGTAGGGGAAGCCGGGTGGACGAGTCCATCCGCGCTGAATCCAGGGGTGTGCCTTGCGGATCGGCAGGTACGTCGATCCCTGCGAATAATATGACAAATGAGAACGTCATATGCGATACTCGAACAAATTTTCGATCGCTCGTCACTCGTGGTCGCGATCCTCCGATTTATCTCGGCCGTGAAAGAATAGGATTTCCGACTAAAACGGGGATTCGTAAAAATTCCGGTATGCCGACCATACCTCTCGTGGACGAGTCCACGTGACGTGACGTGACGTGTGACGGAGTGGCGAGGTGAGGTGAGGTGAGGTGAGGCGAGACGAGGCGAGGTGAGGCGAGGCGAGGCGAGGCGAGGCGAGGCGAGGCGCGGCGCGGTGCGGCGCGGCGAGGCGGCGCGGTGCGGCGCGGTGAGGCGGCGCGGCGCGCGATACCGGCTTACGGTTGTCGTACAGCTACGATCTCGCTCGCATCGGCTCCACGTTCACGGTGCTAGTTCACTTATTGTTCGTTCTCCGTTGCCGCTCCATCGAGATTCGCTCTCCGATCGAGAATTTCGATCACGTTTAACTGCGCGTCGAAAGAGACAGGTAAGTGAGTAGTAGCATCGACCGTGGATACCCTCGGTCAGCTGTCACACGTCGGCGAATTTTCGGCCGCGCTCTCCGGACGAAAGAGCGATCGACTCGCGTGAAATTTTCTCGCTATCTGGCCGGTAATCGGTGGTCGCCATGGCAGGGCGTTGCTCCAAATGCATAGCAACGCAAGGTGGTGTCGTTTATTTCTTTTCTTTCCTTTCTTTTCCTCCGCTTCTCGAATTTCAAATAATTTCGAACGAAACCATCGACAGGTTGCCGTCAAGTGGTCGCGGACGTACGTATATCCAGACAGGTGGTTGCCGTTTATTAATAGACGACGCGTAGCCCGCCTTACTAACCTACGACAGCGGACACGAGCTTCTGCTTTTCGGCGACGGACGTAATCGTAGGTAAACGCGAGAGACTAATCGCGAGGTTGATTCGCCGCGTTATTAAAAAAATTAAAAAAGCGCCTTGGAGGAGATAAATGGAATCGCTGAGAATTCCGTCCCAGGCAATCGTAAGAGCGTCCTTCGTAAATTGGCGAGATATTCACCCGCAAATAGGTATTTGGTAGATATCGAACTTGTAATCGATTCGATTATAAGACTCGCAGAGTTCGGCGGTCAATTTAGCGAGTGCATTCACACATACACACACCCACCGGGACCGGGTGTCGTGGGATTCAACCGGCTCGTCGCCGGACGGGCGTATTGTGGGAGAAGGGAGAAGAGGGAACGGAGGACCTCTCCGTGTCAGAGTACTTCCATATATGGTAAAGAAAGCCAGGATTGGTCGAGGGTGTCCCACCCTTATTGGCCGAGCGTCGCGTAGTGGGGAATCTAGGAACAACGCATCTGTTCATATAATACACCGCAGGCCGATTGTCGGCTACACTCTGTGTTCGGTGCTAGAGATCGGCGGATTGTGCGGCGATTGAGCAGTGTCGCTGCTTACAACTTGTATATAACTTTCTTTTTTTACACTCGAAATGTAAGTTCAAGTCATCGAGTGATATCCGTAACCGTAGATTTCTAGGATTGCGTTTTAAAAAGAGAATAGTGCACGTTGATAAATATCGAATGTATAATGGTATCGTGGTGCGAACGACAAAGTGACGGGTGTGCTGGGTATTTCAAGAGCGCATCGAGTGCTTTAAAGTGGAGATGTGAATGTAACGGTTAGATCGCAGTATCCGTTGAGATTCGCGAAAGAGGAGATCGAGATACATTCATACGATGCCGTTATATCGCGACGATTCTCGTCTAAATTTGTAAAATTTCTTAGCGGAATTTCCAAAATGTCACGCCTGAGAAAGAAAGAGAGAGAGAGAGAGAGAGATCGTCTGCCATCGTCATCGGCGTGTGGAAGGGTGGGGCGGGGCAGAGCAGGGTGCGGTTTCGATAATTAACGATGATAAGGTTGCTTTCTCACGCCCGCTTCGTCGAGCTTGTCTTTCGGTGCACTATTTTTTTTTTATTCTTGATAAAAAATGCGTGCATTTTCCGTTTTATTCGTACCCTGAATAGTCTCGCGACTTTTTGCGATTGAATCGTTTGATTCTTGTGTTGCATGTCCTTGCGACGCCATCTTGAGTGTGTTTGGAAAGCGGGCACCGGTTACCGGCTCTCAAATGGGATTTTCAGTTTACGTTCGCTAATGTGTTCCGACAAACGAGTTTTTCTTTTTTTTTTCTCCCCCATCTTTCCAGTAAATGATATCTGGAATTATAATTGTTACGTCGCAATTGAATTGCTGTTTTTATTTACATGTAAAATTTCTTTGACATGTGCAAAGAAGAATTAAGGGATAAAATAAGTCTAAAACCATATGTTTTGATCGTCATTTCGCTATTTCGTTATTCCGTTAACGACGAGACGGTTAATATATTCTCTTCTTGTTATGCTAATCTTAATGTTTCTTTTGTAGATAAATCAAGAGAGCAAACATGTGCGACGAGGAAGTTGCCGCGCTCGTAGTCGACAATGGATCCGGCATGTGCAAGGCCGGTTTCGCCGGGGATGACGCTCCTCGCGCCGTCTTCCCATCGATCGTCGGCAGGCCACGCCATCAGGGTGTCATGGTCGGTATGGGACAGAAGGACTCCTATGTCGGTGATGAGGCTCAATCGAAGAGAGGTATCTTAACGTTGAAATACCCAATTGAGCACGGTATCGTTACCAACTGGGACGACATGGAGAAGATCTGGCATCACACGTTCTACAATGAATTGCGAGTAGCTCCGGAGGAGCATCCGGTCCTTCTTACCGAGGCTCCCTTGAATCCTAAAGCCAATCGCGAGAAGATGACTCAAATTATGTTCGAGACATTCAATACCCCAGCCATGTACGTCGCGATCCAAGCCGTGTTGTCGCTATATGCTTCCGGTCGTACCACTGGTATCGTACTGGACTCTGGTGATGGCGTTTCCCACACTGTACCAATCTACGAGGGATACGCCCTTCCGCACGCTATCCTCCGCTTGGACTTGGCCGGTCGCGACTTGACCGATTATCTCATGAAGATTCTCACGGAGAGAGGATACTCCTTCACGACTACGGCCGAGCGAGAAATCGTCCGCGACATCAAGGAGAAGCTCTGTTACGTCGCGTTGGACTTTGAACAGGAGATGGCTACAGCGGCCTCTTCCTCCAGCTTGGAGAAGAGCTACGAACTTCCCGACGGTCAAGTCATCACCATCGGTAACGAGCGATTCCGTTGCCCGGAGGCTCTCTTCCAACCCTCGTTCTTGGGTATGGAAGCTTGCGGCATTCACGAGACTACATACAACTCGATCATGAAGTGCGACGTCGACATTCGTAAGGATCTGTACGCCAACACCGTTCTGTCCGGTGGTACCACCATGTATCCTGGCATAGCCGACAGGATGCAGAAGGAGATCACTGCCTTAGCCCCGTCTACCATGAAGATCAAGATCATTGCCCCGCCTGAGAGGAAATACTCCGTATGGATCGGTGGATCGATTCTCGCATCGCTTTCTACCTTCCAACAGATGTGGATCTCGAAGCAGGAATACGACGAATCCGGACCCTCCATCGTCCACAGGAAGTGCTTCTAAGCGCGCCTTCTCCATCGCATATTATCATTCCCCAATCCTTGAACTTGAAGAGGGAGAGAGAGAGAGAGGGGGGCTTCTGTCTCGTTTCGCAGGCGGACGTAACATCAACTTCCGCGACGATTGCCCTTTGGTTTCTCCGGGGCGAAGGTAGCTTCTTTCAATTCGGATGTACGTGTTTAAGATACGCGTGTTAACGATTAAACGAGAGGAGAAGAGGAGCTTTCGATATCTCCTCCCCGCGACGCGTGTTCCTCGGTCTCGGCGACGATCCAAAATAAACCGGCGGTTCGTTCTTGCTCGTTTAAACGCGATCATTCTTTTCATCGTTTCTCATCGATTCAATATAACGATCTTAAACATGTGCCCCGATTCCTAAATACCTTTTTCTACCTTATCTTATAATCGAGTCCTTTGTATTATATATTTGAATAACTTGCGTCTATTACACGGTAGCATTTAGCCAAACATTCCTCGCGAGACGTCCTTCTCTCAACGCGAGTAGAACGCTTCCTTTTCGTTAATCTCGTCGCTCCGCTGTACGCTTCGATTGCCATTTTTCTTCGAGGATTTGAGCAAGAAGAAAACGCGAAGATAAACGCCGAGGTTTCTGTTTGCGGGAAAGATCGTCGATTGTTCTTCCCGCGGAAGGAGACGATGGACATATGGCAATCAACGTCGGTCAATGCATTCCGATTAAAGTGCGGTATTTTTAAGAGGCGCTTGCGTCGAAGCTAATACACAAACATGTCGTACGTCATTCCGCGCGCAGAAAGATAAGCCTCCGACTTCTTATCTGTTTATTTCTTTTTTTAATTATTATTTGCCTATCGTTGAGGGAAAAAGATGGCCTTTTCTGTCTTCTTTCTTTCTTTCTTTTCTTTTTTTTTTTTTTTTTTTTTTTTAACGCCGACATTCAGAATTTGTTTTTTTTTTTACACGATGGGGTAAACCGCAGATCTGGAAATGTCCTACGAACGTTCGCTCAAATAAATGAAAAAATGAAAGACACCACCACGGTTTCGACCCCGTAAGCGTAGCCAAAGTATTATAATTTATTCCCATTGTATTGCGCAAGACCATTCACGTACACATCCTAAAGACTACTTTAGACTTATGGGATTATAAAATAAAAGTCTGAAAAGTATGACCTGTGAGATTTGTCGAGTTCCTTGAAAACGCAATCGTCCGCATCCTTTCATCGCATCCCGCGTATCCCTGTCCATTTATAAGGTTTTCAATGTATATTTGTATTTACGAATATCGTTTTTACATATAATGTAGCCTTTATAACATTGGATATTAATTACTAATAATATGATATAATTATTCAAAAATCGAGATTTTTATTCGATACACAAACCTGGTCAAAAATTATAAATTTTTCTATTCAAAAATATTAAAGCGAGAAAAAATCTAACGAGTTAAAAACAAGTAAAGTAAAAGAACACATTTTATAATTATAAAAAAAATAATAAAATTAAAAAGCGGTAAAATGAGATTAAATCTGATAGGGATCGATGTTCTCTTTAGCTCTTGGATTTAGATGGCAGCACAGCAGGAACTTCGTCTCTCGAAAATCAAAAGAATTCAAATCGCGTCAATGAGAAATTCAATTATCAACGATTATCGATAATAATTTAATGAGAAAAATCAGGCTAGAACAATTGGTCATTCTAGCGATGTTTGTTTTGTATTTTTCTCTGCGATACCACTTGACAATTGGTCATTTGTATTTGCGAAAAGTCAATGACAAATTCAAGTTGAAATGTTCAAATCATCTAAAAAGATATATAGGTGAAAGTTTATCATTATTCTCTGGGACTACGTATCTCCAATTGATCTTGATCGCATTGCGCGTGGATATTCGACAAAAATCAATTTGCGTCGATAGTCGGTGACTGACAAGGGCAGAGGGCAGAGGCAGAGGCACATATGTGACTGTTACAACGAGACGTGACGTCTCGTCTCGCAGCTTCTGTTTAGGTTTAGATATATCCTCTCCGAGTCTTCGAGTTTAGCGCTGACTCGACTCGAAATGTCCGAGCAGAATGTCAGCGATCAATATACAACGTGGGTAAGGAAACGTCCGAGTTTGAATCGTTACTGTATTGATGGCATGAATCATAACCTAAGTCTGTAAACAAAAGCATTTGGAGAAATTCACATATGCTATAGGTCGGATTCACGTACATTTTCAATCTCATCGTTGGAACGGGCGCCCTGACTTTACCCGTGGTATTCAGTCGAGCAGGATGGGCGTTAGGATTAAGTGTAATTTTAATATTAGCTTTCATCAGGTATGTAGGAAAGATCTTGTCACAAATTCTCAGAAAGATATGCTCCAAGGTTATATATATATATATATTTATTTATTTATTTATTCCATCTCATTGAGTTTTCTTTGTACAGTTTCATTACAGTTACATTCGTCATAGAAACAATGGCATCAGCTAACGCTATAGTCACATGGAGGCACATTCAGCATCGAAAACGTGTAAGCATCTCTGGATTTATCTTATTTTCCACAAACGACAGTCGAGCATTTTACAGATACTTTAGAAAGATAGATAGTAAAGATAACGATCAGAGGCATAGTGTACTAGCACACATGTTGTATGAAATCTTACATAAATATAAAATAAAATTTCATATAAAATTGCCATTAATTGCCGTTGTTACAAAATTTATTTTCTAACAAATATTTAGATCGAGATATACACATTTTTTCAGGTTTTACAAACAATAGGTGAATCCGGCCCTTCCAATTCAGATTCAGAGGATACTCCGCTGGTAGCACCCCCTTCGACTAGTCCAGAGCATTCAGATATGTCTTATAGATATTACGTGATTCGTGATAAAATAGAAATGGGTCAGATGGCATCCATCTTTTTCAACAGATTTGGCACTATCTTGTTCTATATATGTTTTGCCATATATCTATATGGAGATTTAAGCATTTACGGGGCAGCAGTTGCAAAGTCATTAGCAGATGTTGCCTGCACTTATCTGCCAAAAAACCTTACGTGCAACGACACGATACCAGATACTGAACCTTGCTGGGAGGGTTTTATGATAAATCGATTCGATGCATATAGAATATTTCTGGTATGTCACTGATTTGAAAAAATGTCAGTAGATTAATGACTTTTGCCATAATTATAAAGCTGCACGATAGTAACTGTTGCGCTGTTTCCATTTTCAGACAACGTTTGTACTATCATTGGGGCCGTTTGTGTTTTTTAATGTTCAGAAAACTAAGTATCTTCAGCTACTGACTTCGGTAATGCGCTGGCTTGCATTCACTGTAATGATCGTCTACGCTTTGAAAAATCTTATCGTACACGGTCCTCGGGGCGATCCACCTATCGCGAATTTAGCCGGTAAGTTGAGAAATTATGATAATCATTAATCTATGGCTTTTCATTGATTAATACGTAATCGCTAATTATATAAAGAGATACGTCACTATTTTAGGAGTTCCCAGTCTTTTCGGCGCTTGCGTTTATTCCTTCATGTGTCATCATTCGTTACCAGCACTGGTTTCACCGATAGCAAATAAGTCTAAGCTGAATCGATTTCTAGCTCTCGATTACACATTAATAGCTTTCTTTTATTTATTATTAGCGATGACAGGTATCTTTGCCTTTGAGCATTTGGATGATCTTTATACTTTGGATTTTGGACCACGTGGCTCGGGTGATTGTTCCAAGAGTAACAATATTTTTATTCTGCTTATAGAATATTTTTTAGCGCTCTTTCCAGTATTTACTTTGAGTACCAGTTTTCCCATTATAGCAATTACCCTTCGAAATAATTTGCAGTCGCTCTTTTTAAATGAGGATAAGGCTTACAATTTATGTCTTCGGCAATTCGTCTTCCCTATTTTAGCAGTAATACCGCCATATCTGATCGCGATGAGTACCAAAGATCTATCGAAATTAGTTGGTATTACAGGATCATATGCTGGAGCAGGGATTCAATATTTAATACCTACATTCCTGGTTTATTATGCCAGGCAAAAGACTAATAAGATTATCGGTCTTGGCGTCGTTAACAAATTTGCAAGTCCTTTTTCGGGCAGGTATTGGTTGGTTTTTGTCGTAGTATGGGCGATTGCATGTATGATTTTAGTATCGGTCAATTTCATGCAAATACATTTACAATCCTCCTCCTGAATTAGTCGATAACAAAATTAATATTACATTTACATTATACAGAATCAAAAGAAGATAGAGCTTATGTTGTAAACTCGATTACTAAGAAGACGCAGATAAGTGTCGACAAAAGTGTTGATCACGTATTACGAATGATACATTTCACAATGTATCAATAGTAAAAATATAGATGTTGTGCGGAATCATTCAACAGTTTTAATCGATATTGTATAAGCACACGATACAAATTGAATGGATGGTGACTAAAGTGATAAATCAGAGATAGACTAAGAATAATTGCCGATATGTTTGATGAAATTTGAAATCTGTATGAAAGTTCGTAATTTGAGACGCTGATCGTCATTTGTGGCAGTATATGCTCACATGTATATATGGGGCGAACCGACAATACTTTAGCACAAGTCATACAACTTAAATATTGGATAAGTTTAATGTAGGAATGTAATGTGCATGTAGAGAAAAAGAGTTTGCTCGTTCTCTTTATATATGTATACTTTACTTTTGTAGAATTGTCCCGGGACAAAAGCGTAATTTCGTTATTATAAGAAAATTCTAACAATTCGTTATATTGTATTTGTATTTTTTTATAAGGTAAAATTATTTCTCCATATTTTGTGTATTTATAATAAAGTAATGTTAGCGATAGGTGATAATAGTAGCAATAGCAAAAGTATGATGTTACATTCTTTTTGAGATCGTATTTTTGTATATGTATAAAACTGCCAAAAAATTATTCGCAGCATGTCCATCACACCAGTGTACCTGTGCTAGTATAGTGTACAATGAAGAATATGTTGCGAGTATATATATAAATATTGAAATGGATAATAATAAACAGTTGATTATACAAGCCTCTTGCCGATTTATTTAAACCGGTATATGTACACACATATATATTTTTGCCTTATATTTATTTCGAATAGAGATCTCTCTGCACGAGGCAGATTTTAACACAGATAGAGATTTCTCTTCAAGATTCCAACGATAGAAGATAGCACGATAAAAGCGATAAAAGCTATTTTCGATAAAATTTTATATTCCTGATTACATAGATTAGCGTGGAATGTGTTACAATCGCCTTTTTTGCATATAGGCACAGTATTTGTAAGATCTTGAATAACCAGCTTTGTGTCTTTACATATATTCGTGATAACGGATCATAATAATATAAAAGCACAAAAAAAAAAATAAGTTAAAATATTTATTACTTTACAATTATTCGGTAAGAAAAATGAGCTTATTCTAATAATCTTTTTTGTTTTTAAATGACTCCCATAAAGTAAGAATAAATATACAACATCTGTGTGCAACACTATGTAATTAGCAAACAATTATGTTTAATTATATCAATAATTGAATAAAGGTTCGACGCTGTTCTACATACGCGAAGAGTACCGGTGTATGAGAATGTCATATATATATATATATATATATATGAACGTACGTGAACACTTTGGAGTGAATAGATACTGTTAATTTATACACCCGCATAAAATTCGGGTGTATATTTATAATAATAAATAGCCATTTTTTCGTACTATATACGACATTTGATTTTTCTCTTTGGTTTTCCGCGGACGAACTCTCTACTAGATTGGTGCCTACGGAACATGATCACACGACGGATATCTCCCTATCCCCAGCTGGTGGCACTCGGACGCTTGTACTAGTTTATCTTTCTCACTCATCGTCTTTAACGCTACGAATACTGCAAATCTATCTATTATATCGCGAATCTCTGTATTCGCGTACAACTTTGTTGAAACTTCTTAAGCTTATTTCAATCGACGGTGCGTGAATTTCATTCGGAGATTGATATTTCGAGATATGTCTTTTGTGCTTCGGCATTAAATTCGGACTGATGTACGACGGTGTAATATATGTATTATTTCTCTTTGTCAAAATTCGAAAGGTGCTTAAGCAGCTTTGTACAAGAACAAAGACGCGCGTTACAATTCGTATCGTCGCGCGCGTGGCAATTGAGCTTGTAATTTGCATGTAAAAACCTAGAGTGTAATTAACTAGATATGGTACAATATTTGTAGTTCGTAGAAAACTTATGCTACGAATCGAAGGTCTGGCATGTATAAAGAAAGATCGGTGTATAGAGAGAGCAAGGACTTACAATTTAATAACTCGACGAAATGAGTTAATCTATATGTTAAATAATACTGATACTCTTCTCCCTTCTAATCTCGTCTCTTCCTATAAAAATTATTAACTTACTCGTAATTATTTAAATAGGGACAATGCGTGTCTTCGTGACCTACGCACTCTATCACCGGATCGTGCGTGCTGTCCCACATCCCCGGACCGCATTGCCGGCAGAGACCGGCTAACGTGCAAGGCAAGCGGACAAGTTGACGGAAATGATAAAGTAGGCCTCGTGCCTTTCTAAGTATAACGTTCCCATCCATGTACATGGCCAGTGAACTAAAATGCAATAACATTTCGTCCGTTCGCAGATCCTGGGCAATCACATCGTCCGCGTAAACGCACATTATAGCGAGACAGAGAAACAAGTGAAAATGATCCGTTAAATAATTGACCCAGCAGGCCTCCCACATGACAAGAGCTATCTCGGTTGGAAATTCTCTTTTCAAGCATCTGTAATGGGGAAGAGAGGGGAGAAAGGAGGGAGAGAGGAGGGGCGAAGATACGATAAAGATAAAACTGTGTAAAATTCATATATAAGAGCGCATACAGTGTCATTACAATAATTGTACTTACAAAAGTATCCAACGATGACAAAACAAAAGCTCTAAAGCATCCGCGTGATTTTGAAGATGCGCGTAAAAATCCGGTACCATTATTCTCACTAGCTCCCGTAGGTAGCACAGATTTCTGTCCATGTCCTTGTCGGTCGGAGTGCACACGGCCACCGATCTTTGCATCAGACCCGCGAAACACCAAAAGGCCTCGATTTCGGAGTTAAGTTCGGCTAGTAACGGAGCTAAGAGATCAGACATTCCTTGGGTGTAACCCAAGCGGCAGTTGTATACCGCGTAGTTGAGTAAAATATTCCTACAGGGCAGGACAAAACAGATGGGAATGATTAATAGGCAATGGTAATAATATGCGAAGAGACAAAGGTCAGTATCGACGCGTTGAAATAACTTACTTCATTACTTCGATGTTGGGATTACCCTCGCCGGCGTAATACGGATTACCTCTGTCCGTCCGAACGACATCTTTCTCCACTATGCACACCACGTTTCGCCAGAAACGCTCGGCCTGTTCCGGATTCATACTCAATCTACGTCTCTGTATCTCCTCGTACTCTTGCCGTCTAATGGCATCGATCTGCTCTCTATCCTCGTATGTGCTCTGGTAGGAATAGCAGTGCAGCAGAAAGGGCCAAACGATTTTTCGTAACGCCGGCTCCAAGCCTCCGAAAAATATTCCTTTGCGAAGAGCGAGATCATCCTCCACCTGGCCACGTTCGTTCAACAAATCTTTCCAAGCTAGTGATGTGATCATTGGTACTTGGCCTTCCTCGGGATGCAATTCGTCTCGACTTACCTCCGGTCTGCATACCATAAAGTGCCTGTGCAAAACATTCATTGTGAATATTAGATATATCGATACGCGAATAAACTCGAACAATTTATATTCCAAGCAATTATGCCTGACCTGTATGGCAGAGTTTCCTCCGTGTCCGCGCTCAAGCGTGGATAAAGCAATTGATGCCATTGATGTAGGGTGGCGGCCAGCCGATCCAAGCCGCCGTGATGAAAGTGCAAGATCTTGTATTGGCTCTCTCTGCTCGCCACTACCAACTGGCCGCAGGTGCAAGCAGGATCGGCAAAGAAGAGCCGCAAGGATCGCATCTCGCCGAGATCCACCGAGAATCTTCTGCATCGATGCGCTCTGCGCAATGTCACGGGCGACGCGGTCGCGCTGTCGGGAAAGGCAAGATTGTGTTGAAGAGCTAAGAGTTCCGGGGACCTCATCCACGTCGGCATCTCCTCAGCTATACAAACAACGTCATCGTATTATTAATTAAGGACGAAAAAATGACAATTATCCGACGAGTCGAATCGTAGGATACAACTTAAATATATCTTCTTTTTTTCTACCTACCGTCAGCGGATATCGAGATTGACAAGCTGCAGGTGGAAGTTAACGACAAACTGCGACTCTTGACACTCGCGTCATCGCGGTACGAGAGGCGTGCCTCCTCGTCGACGCTCCTGACATCGCTCTCGTTAAAATTCCGCTCTTTCGAATCCCCATTCCTCTCATTCTTCCTCGAGTCCGCGGAATCCGGTGTCGAACGATTCTCGGTTCTTTCGTCGGCATTCTTCTCAGACTCGTTGCCTGGACGACGTGGAAAGTCGTAGCCGGAACCGGAACAGACGCGTTCGCAGTCGCCGCAATTGACGGGTTCCTTCGCCTCCAAGCACACGTCCAGCTTCCCGTTCCCGTTGTCGTTCTCGGCGTCGTTCTCATTCTCATTCTCGTTCTCGAGCACGTGTCTCGCGTCCGCGCCACGTGCCTGCGCGGATATCTGCGAACGAGGCAGGACGGTCGGATCGTCGTCCCGATGATGATGCGATGCGACGGCGTTTCTGGCGCTCAGGTTCTCCAGCGCAGTCGGATGCTTGCGCAACGTACTGTTGGGTATCCAGCTGAGATGCAGGGTCGGTAGGTTCGAGTTCTTGTTCAGCTTGCACGTTATGGTCATGTATCCGGGATGGTGCACCACGTCGGCGTGCTGCCTCATCAACGTCGGTGGGTGCACGCAGACGTTATTCTTGCAGAATAACGCCTCGCCGTCCTGGTAAATGACACGTCGATTATCCTGGCCGCAATCGCCGAGGATATAGCTGCTCGCTTTCCGCAGAATATTTGGCAGAGGCATATTCGTCTCCTGATCACTCACGCTGTCTTCCTTCGATGAAACATGATATATCTTGTGACAAAAGGAGAGGACGATGACGATGCTCGGATCACTCTAAACTGAGAAATCTAAGCACTCGTTGGCACGGAAATCCGTCTGTTTGCCGTCCTTGGACGGCGAGACGGTTCCTTGGCTCCTCCAAACTCGACCCGGACTGTCCTCGTCTACTACGAAATGCTGGAAGCGGGATTCGCACCGACGGGATCGCGAACCGAGCCCGACCGGCGGAGGAGAATGGGAACGAAGGGCGAGCATAATCGGTGCGAGAAGGTATTCGGGGGTGGATCCGCGCGAGTCCCACGATTTGTTCTACCGCAGATTACGGAACGTTATCGCCGTTAATTAGCCTCGTTACATACAAAGCGTCAATGCGATAACGCGTATCCGTGCCGTCAGTTTCCGCTTCGTAGATAACGCGGGCCGTGCGTAGTCGAGAGTCCCACTTTGGGGGAGACTCCTCCCCGTCCTTCACCGAAGAGGGTGGATGCTTTGGGGGACTCTAGTTCTTTCCAGCATGTCGGTCGACATTGCCGAAACGCGACAATCTTTGCGATAAGCCAAGATCCGAGACGATCTGGTAGGGGGTAGGGTAGGAGATAGGAGGTAGACGACACCAGTGATCAACGTTTTGTTTCTTCTGAATCGCCGACGTAATCGCTGTCCGAGCGACGAGCGATTGCGCTTTCTCTGCCGCGCAAGCACGCACCACGCACGTCGACTTGGACAAAATCCTGCTAAAATAGCAGTGTCGCGCGCATACGCGACACGTACTTTGCTCTCGAGAAATCGTGGTCTGATGTCTTTGACACGATACCCGATGACCAGTTACGCAATGACACAACTCGCGACAACGCGACCCGACGCGACGCGACGCGACGCGACGCGAGGCGAGGCGAGGCGAGGCGAGGCGACACGACACCAAGCGTATACACGGAGACACTCTTCTTATCCTAGATCAATATTTCCATCTGATCGCGGAAGTCGCTCTACCTACCTACCCACCTACCTATACAGCCTTTCCTACTACCAGACTCGCTGACATTTCGCCACTTCATAGGCCGTTTTTATCGATTATCCACCGTCTCTTGTACCTTCATCACGCGTTTCGCGTTCTTCTACTTTCGATCGATCACCTTCAGCTTTTTCCATAATTGTGCGTAATTTCCCTTTTATCCGAAGCTATGATATGTTATAGCGTTTTCACGCGCGAAGCGATGACGTAAATTTTGCCCGATCATTGGTTCAAATTTTATCGCGATACGAGCATTAAAAATTAAGTATTAATTAATTAAATTATAATTTATATTAATAACCGAGTGAGACAATATCTTTTGCACTAGCACTTTCAAGAATATAGATTTAGAAAAAGAGAAAGAAAAATAACTATAATATATTGCAAATATCTGTTTCATCGATTGTATTTTTATTGTTTAATTATCATACTTTACCGTCGTTTCTACTCTCAAGCATTGGTACAGTTCGTAATTGAAGAGTATCTTGTGATCGTTGTTGATAGCTAGTCCAGATTTAGGACCGCGTTTAAGATACGATATCGTAGAATATGCCGAGAAATGAAAGTCCTCTTGCAAATAACCGTTCGCTAGCAAATGTCCTACGATAGCCTCCGCGGTTTCTCTTGCAAAATTTGGCACGGGCACGTTAGATACTCTCAACGATGGGGCACCTTTGCTGTACCAGGCGTCCACAAGCTTCAGAGCGGTCAATCGTGTTTCGCTTTGCACAGCCTTTGTCATAATTTGATACAGCTGTCTGCAATATTTCCCTATGTCTACCTCTTTTCCAGTAATCGACTTCCTACAATGATCGCACATCTCGACGCAATCGCTCGCGTTCCAAGTCTCCTCGAAATGAGTCGCTATTAAGCTTCGTCTACAGGATGTTTGATCCAGACAATACGTCAACACTTTGTACAAGTTTTGCAGTCCGACTTTATCTTGAAATACCATAGTACTCAACTTGAATATGTCTGCCAATCTGTAGAGCACGATACATGTTGATCTTTTGCCGTCTCTGCCCGCTCTACCGCTTTCCTGATAAAAATTCTCCATCGATTTGGAAACGCAATGATGTATCACGAATCGCACATCCGGCTTGTCGATGCCCAATCCAAAAGCGATGGTCGCGATCACCGCTTGATACTTGCCCGAAATCCATTTGGAGTAAACTTCCGATCTGTATTCCGCCTCGAGCATCGCGTGGTAGCATCCGACTTTAAAATTTCTGTTCCTTAAATCCGTGGTCAATTGTTCGGCGTCCTTAATCGTGGTCGTATAGATTATACCCGATTTGCCAGCGAATCGATTATTCAAGAGATTTTTTATCATCGCGAGGCACGTTTCCTTATCCGCCGGTTTGCGACGAACCTCGTAATATAAATTGGGCCTGTTGAACGAAGCGCGTAAGATCAGGCAACCACTAATATCCAGCATCTTTTGTACGTCTACGATGATCTTAGCCGGAGCCGTGGCAGTGAGGCCTAGAATCGGTATGCCCGGGAACATGGATTTCAGCACACCTAGGAACTTGTAATCCGGTCTGAAATCGTGACCCCATTGACTGCAACAATGTACCTCATCTATCGCAAAACGTTCCAGACGCCCCAACTCGTACGCTTTCTGCAGCTTGTTCATAAAACGATTCGACTTTGCCATGTACTCCGGCGTTACGTAGACGAGTTTTAGATCCGAGTTTTTATCCACAAGCGCATTCATGGTCGTCTTGACGCTTTCTTTGTCTGCCTTTGCGCACAACATGGTAGCTTTTATGTTAAATTTATGCAATCCGTGTAATTGATCCTCCATCAAAGCCACTAATGGCGAAACTACTATAGTTGTACCTTTGCTGATTACAGCCGGCAATTGATAACACAAGCTTTTACCACCACCTGTAGGCATAATTAATATAACATCTTCTTTGGACATAATTGCATTCATAGTTTGTAATTGTAACTCTCGCAACTTTTCAATCTTGAAAACGTCTTTTAAAGTTTTCTTGAGTCTTGCGGACCAATCAAATTCCTCATTGTTCCAATTTTTCTTGGACAAGGAAAAACTTTTCTTCAAAAGAGCGTTATCGTGTAACTTTTCCTTACGCTGAGTTAATATCCTCTTACGATCCTCAAGTTTCTGCAGTTCGCTTTCTATTTGTTGCAGCTCGTAATCAATGGCAGCTATTTCGTCGTTTTCAGTGACTAAAATTTTGAAGAAAAACAATAAAAATAACGTGCAATTATGTGAAAATATAATGTAATCTTGATGATCATTGATGAAGAATTAAAGAAAGCAGCTCATAAACCTTTACAAAATAACAGTGTCTAATATCTATAAATTCATTACAGTAAGTCTTTCTTTAGTATTGAGGAGAGATGAGATTAAAAACAAAATACTTTGCATGTCTGATCACATTAGACTAATTCTGTCGATAGATGAATTTTAACATTAATCACACACGCATAATGACTTTTCTTCATATACAATATGTTGAGTCTAATAATATGTAAAGGTGAAAAATAGAGAAATTTAAAAAAAAAACTTTATAATTTTTTATTATATTCAACCAACCTTGATACTCGTCGTCTATCATAACCACATCCTTCGTGTCATTAACAGACATTTTAATCAATTATTTAAATTTCCTTATTAGATGTTAAAACATTAATGTGTATCTCGCTTCTATATAAATCACGCGAACATATCGTAATCTATCAAATGTAATCGTATCCGATTATACACGAGATGACATCCGCGCCGGTAGATACTGTTCAACATGTGATCGACATCGCGTCTCGGGTCTCGAGTCTCGAGTCTCGAGTCCAGTCCAGTCCAGTCCAGTCCAGTATCCAATCACTGGATTACAGTGGATGGATCATCAGTCGTAATCGGCCTGATTGTTTTGTTTTTTACCAATTCGGCATCTATCTTTGATTCATTATCAGGCAAGTAGAGAGAAGCGACGATACTTTGTGCGCACAAAATAAATGAGGTGCCAAGTGCCAAGCAGTTTTAAACTTTTTCACCACCATGTTCCGTCAAGCTGCACTTCGTGCATGTCCGACATGGCTCGAAAACAAACTCACGTCTATATATTTTAGGGGTATCTGTTTTATATTCGCCTCTCCTATTCGCATTCTATATAAAACTCTAAAGCTAGCGTTATTACATTATTGCGGTATGATAAAGTTGTAATTGTCTCATTATTGATCTCCAATTTTTCAAATTCTTATTAATAAATATTTTTCCATATTTTTACGATTGACAGATAGCATATAGATTATATTCGATTCAGTTGGGTATTTATGTGTAAATTATGTCTACTTTTTTAAACATTTTTTTTTTTCAGCAAAGAGCATTTCTTCCAACGGATTTCGTGGATCACATAGCCTTAGTGCAACAGTTGATCATTCCAATATGAAAATTCAAATATTACCAGCGCTTCAAGATAATTACATGTATTTGGTATCTATCGTACTATTTGAAATAACGTTTATACAATTTTCTAAAACTCAATATAGAAATTTTTAGTTCTCTTTTATGTATTACCTTACAATTAGTTTACAGCAAGATAACCATATTCATCTAATATATATATTCGATAATTCTTATTATAAACTTGTATGAAATAATTGAAATTTTTAACACATATTTCTTTTTATAAGATTATTGACGAAGCGACACAGGAAGCTGCTGTTGTGGATCCTGTCGATCCAGAAACTGTAGCTACGGCTGTTCAACAAAATAATATCAAACTAACAAAAGTTTTAACTACCCATCATCATTGGGATCATGCCGGTGGAAATGCAAAATTATTGAAAAGCTTTACCGATCTTTCCATATATGGTGGAGATGACAGGATAGAAGCTATTAATCACAAAGTTACGCACAATGATACATTCAATATTGGCAATTTATCAGTCAAATGTCTAGCGACACCTTGCCATACGCGTGGACACATCTGTTACTATGTTACAGGGGAAGAACATCTCCCGTCTGTGTTTACAGGTACAGCTAGGCATACGTTAAAGATGAAATATATCCACATATCAAATATAATAAAGAAAAGATCAATTTGCAGGAGATACACTTTTTGCTGGAGGTTGTGGGAGATTTTTCGAGGGTACTGCTGATCAAATGTACAAAGCACTTATTGAAATCTTGGGCTCCTTACCTGAAGAAACGGTAAATTATTTGACTCTTGAACTGTGGAATTTATCATTTCTGAGACAAATCATTTTTATATTTCCATAGAAAGTTTACTGCGGGCATGAATACACATCTAACAATCTCAAGTTTGGTTTACATGTGGAACCCGAAAATAAAGCAATTCAAGAAAAATTGAATTGGTCGCACACTCAACGTGCTAATAATCTTCCGACTGTGCCTAGCACCATTAAAGATGAAAAACTGACAAATCCATTTATGAGAGTGCATGAACCGACTGTTATGAAACACGCACAACAAAATGATCCTATTCAGACAATGTCTTATTTAAGACGCGAAAAAGATAGCTTCAAAGCTTAAAAAACTTTGTACAATACTGAAATATCTTTTTACTCGTTGAGTATATACATTTAATTAATATATTTTAAAATGTGGAATGTAAAGTGTAACCGATGTAAAAAATGTGTAAGATAAAATATCCAAATAAATATTAAATTTTATTATGTGCAAATATATTATAGTGTAGTATATTAAAATAAATATTTGAATTTTTTTCTATTACCACTATCTTATTTATCTTCTATCTCCACAATTTTCTAAATCCAAGTTTTCTTTTTTATATAATTTAAATTTTATAAAAAAACTTATGGTTTTGTAACAGTATATACATGAAATATATATACACACATACATATATATCAACAGCATGTAATAGTAGATTTATATTAACACATTTGTGTATATATTAATATAAACCTAATCTATAAATCTATAATCAAAATGTAATTAATCATTATTATTTATATATAAAACTGGTCATATAAATTATTAATATCGTGAAAGATAATTATTTATATATAATTATTAATATAATTAATGTATAGGATATCCCGAATCTTAATGTCAAAATCTCTAAAGGACTTATCGATTGTCCACAAATTTGGGATACCAAATTGTATATATAACTATCATTATAATTTATATTAATATAATTATCTTCCACAAGAAAGTTGTTTATATATTTATTATGATATATTTAATGACATTTGACATGGTGCGTCTTCAGTCTTTTTATTATATATTTGCATTTCAGCGACATATTTCTCCTTGGATCTTTCATACATGTCGTAATATACCTGAAACAAGGCAACATATTCCATATGTATTCATTATCTAGAATGATTATAAAACCATGTTCAATATTTATGTATGTAACATGTAATATTCGATCTTACTTTCTTATCTTCGGAGCTGAGAGATTTCCAAGTGGTCGCAAGTTGTCTAGTAAGCTCTTGTTTACTAGGTTCCGGTTCTCCAGCTAAGCGTTCCATTACACGAGGTCTCTGCTCTTGGCAAAACTGGAAGAAAGGATTAGCGGGTCTTTTGGGCGCATTTGGATCAGCTTTTGCACCCTTTCTCTTTGTTCCTTTTCTAGGTTTCTCATCTTTAGCATTGTGAGAGGCACCTTTCCCTCCTTTCTCTGATTTTGGAGTTGTTTCAAATACACTGTTTTCTTCTAGTACACCCATTGGTGCCTCGCGCCAACGATCTCCATGTTTATTCAATCGATCGATCAAAAATCTACGATTAATATCATGAGTGACGAAAATTTATAGAAATTTCAGACTAATGTATAATCTGCGAAAAACTAACTTTTTTTCTTTCCTTGTACGTCGAAGAAGCTTCCTTACCATCTGGATTCTATAGACCAATCTCTCATTCTCCTATAGTTGAAAAAAATATATAACTTGAAAAGATAGTTGAGAGTGAGTGAGAGTGAGTGTATGTGTGTGAGAGAGAGAGAGAGAGAGAGAGAGAGAGGGAGACTTAACCTGCTGCAAAATATCACATCTTTCTACCAATAATTGATACTTTTTCTTGTAGATATCAAACTCCTCTGGTTCTACGTCGTACTCAGATTCGTCGGACATTGTAAATTATGGGTTTTTAACGAAATATTGCTAAATTGTGTGTTTGACACTGCTCTTACACATATATTGACATATATCTACACCAGTGCATGTCAGGTCAGATGTTTGTCTCTCCCATAGACATAGTATATCTAGACCGAGTGTTGAGGAGTGGGGGCCGATGCCCACGTAGAAAAGGACATACTCTGTTTCGTGCCCCTTGCGTTCTCTCTCGCTCGCACAGAGCATAGCGCTCTCTTTCGTCATGCTACGTGCGAGCGAGAGAGAACGCAAGGGGCACGAAACAGAGTATGTCCTTTTCTACGTGGGCATCGGCCCCCACTCCTCAACACTCGGTTTGGGCGCATTTGGATCAGCTTTTGCACCCTTTCTCTTTGTTCCTTTTCTAGGTTTCTCATCTTTAGCATTGTGAGAGGCACCTTTCCCTCCTTTCTCTGATTTTGGAGTTGTTTCAAATACACTGTTTTCTTCTAGTACACCCATTGGTGCCTCGCGCCAACGATCTCCATGTTTATTCAATCGATCGATCAAAAATCTACGATTAATATCATGAGTGACGAAAATTTATAGAAATTTCAGACTAATGTATAATCTGCGAAAAACTAACTTTTTTTCTTTCCTTGTACGTCGAAGAAGCTTCCTTACCATCTGGATTCTATAGACCAATCTCTCATTCTCCTATAGTTGAAAAAAATATATAACTTGAAAAGATAGTTGAGAGTGAGTGAGAGTGAGTGAGAGAGAAGGAGACTTAACCTGCTGCAAAATATCACATCTTTCTACCAATAATTGATACTTTTTCTTGTAGATATCAAACTCCTCTGGTTCTACGTCGTACTCAGATTCGTCGGACATTGTAAATTATGGGTTTTTAACGAAATATTGCTAAATTGTGTGTTTGACACTGCTCTTACACATATATTGACATATATCTACACCAGTGCATGTCAGGTCAGATGTTTGTCTCTCCCATAGACATAGTATATCTAGACCGAGTGTTGAGGAGTGGGGGCCGATGCCCACGTAGAAAAGGACATACTCTGTTTCGTGCCCCTTGCGTTCTCTCTCGCTCGCACAAAGCATAGCGCTCTCTTTCATCATGCTACGTGCGAGCGAGAGAGAACGCAAGGGGCACGAAACAGAGTATGTCCTTTTCTACGTGTATCTTTACCCCCACTCCTTAAATAAAGGCAAACGCTCGGTCTAGATATACTATGTCTATGGTACCCCCCTTACCTCAGGGAACGAATCGTTGACGCGTAGTGTACACGTGCACTTAACCTCGAAGTATTTCATGAAACGTTTTCAAAGAGAGCGCAATAAAAAACCTCCTGGTGATCATTTTTAAATTCGTCAAATATGCCTGCTCCATGCGAAGACATTATCGAGGACATCGAAGATTTAATCGCGTCGCAAGACATAACGCCTAAAGAAAGATATAGCTCGAGGAAACATATTACGATACGACCGAAACGAAGAAAGCAAGCGCAGGAGGAAGTTTCACAGCCGCCTATCTTGTCAAGTATAATACCCGGCACGCAGACGATCTACGTGAAAACATGGGGTTGTACGCACAATAATTCGGACACTGAATATATGGCCGGACAGCTGGCATTGTACGGTTACAATTTGTCTGACGATAAGCTAAAAGCAGACTTGTGGCTTCTGAATTCGTGCACCGTCAAGAATCCTGCGGAGGATCAGTTTAGGAATGAAATTGAATATGGCAAGAAAGGTTCAGCACTAGAGGGAGCGCTAGGTTCAATGAATAGGTTGTTTCTGATTGGCTGCCGCCATTTTTATGAAAACCGGCAATGAGGAAGACAGAGAGATAAGGAAGAGAGAGTACGACCATATACATATAGGCTGCGTTTCAATATTCACTGCCAGTACTGAAAATCTATAGTGTACGTGACGTAAATTATATAGATTTTCAGTACTGGCAGTGAATATCGGAACACAGCCATAGTCTCTATGACATTCAAAAAATTGTATTTTTTTTTTTTTTCGAAATCTCCTATTTCCGATTTTCATAATAATGGCGTATTGATCCATCTCTCCCTAAAGGGTCTCTAAGCACATGTTTCGAAATTCACTGCCAGTACTATAAGAAATCTATGGTTCACGTTACACTATTTTACCATATAGTGGTGAATTATTTTGCAGTTTTGGCAATCTAGATTTATTTCCGTCTTTTGCCTTATGCAAAAGAATATTCAATTTTTTTCAAGTTAAATTTGAGGGCCATTTTAATTAAAATTAGATTAACTTGCAGAATAATCAACAGCAAAATTTTTAAAATTTCTATATACATTAATTAAATTTGATTCAGAGATTTCACATGTAAAATATAATAGTCTACGTCTACGCGTAGATAATGCAAACTATGTTAGCGTGTGGATGAACACATGGACAAACAAATAATAAAAAAAAAAAATATATATATATATATATATATTGACAATAATGAATTCTATAAAAAATAAATCGAAGATTGCTGGTGAGTTGGTTCTTATATTTTCATTTCTATTTATGTCGCGATTACTTGATTTACACATAACGTCGCAATTTTACGATGCCACAAAAAGTCGACAAAAAATTTAACGAGCTTTTGATTTCATATGTCTATGAAAGAAGGAAAAATAAATGTTATGCATATTGCGATCACGAGCTAAAAGCGATATATTATCTCTTGCCGTTTAAAAGTTCACATAAACATAATTTAAAAATGTAACATAAAATTGAAATTGAAATGAAATCAACATAGCAAGTATATATATACGTGCAACTATATATATACTTCATCAATAACAAATTACAAATAATCACACTTGGCAACGCGCCGTATTGACTCTCTTGAATTTTTCTTGAAATGATAAGGATATGTAATAATTTAATTTCAGCCTATTTACATGGTTTCTGTGACATATTGATATATTTTACAATTATTTCAGTCACAAAATTTGATGATATTTGATTAAATGATTGGCAGCGATGCCAAATTATAGATGGTTAAGTTGTTTATAGAATTGTTGTCCTTCACCATATCACCATAGATATAGGAAGAACGTAGATGTACTTCATATCATTCTCGCAATATATATTAATGTTGTTTACTTCACGCGGTTCGCATTGAATGAACCGCGTCTGACCGCATCGTATTTAATTTTGTCACGTTGGCAAAATTCCAGAGTTGATCCGAAGCAATGTTCAGTATCGACACGCAGCGTTTGAATAAAAAACAAAACGAATATTAGTTTTCATCTCCACTTTAGCCTTAGCGCGCGATACTCATCGGATATCTGTGTCTTTACAGATCTCATTGAGAGAAGCGGGAAATAATTTTACGCCCCTACTTATTCTCTTGTAGAGAGAACGCGATGATCGCGAATTGGTAGACGGGATTCGTGAGGGAGACGAGAATAAAATCGAGCGAGTGACCAGAGACTAGAGCCAGAGGGCCAGAGGGCGGCGTGAGGTAACATTCATTGCGCGCGCAGTCACAATCACAGTCAAAATTCACCCTTGGCTCGTGCTCGTGCTCGTGCCGTTGCCATTGCCGTTGCCGTTGTCGTTTGCTGCGAGAGCAACACCAGAGTGCCGAAAGAGATATTAGTTATATCAGTTTCCTGGTGTGCGTCATCCGCGCTTCTCTCACCCGCGCTTTTCATTCGCTCGCTCGTCGATCGCCGTCCGCAGGGATTCACCGATTTTTACTCATCGCTTCCGCGAGAATCGCAAGAGAGAATCGCTGCATCTCTCTCTCTCTCTCTCTCTCTCTCTTTCTCTCTCTTCTTCTCGTCTTACGTATCAAGTTTCCTCGGCGACTGCCAACAGCGGATATCATCTTTTGCACGTATACCATGCAGGTCACTGAATCGCTGCATCTCTCTCTCTCTCTCTCTCTCTCTCTTTGTCTCTCTATCTCTTTCTCTCTCTTCTTCTCGTCTTACGTATCAAGTTTCCTCGGCGACTGCCAACAGCGGATATCATCTTTTGCACGTATACCATGCAGGTCACCGCAGTTTTTTAGCATTGGCCCAGAAGACGGAGAACGCGAGCATCGGTGAGTACACGTCGTACAACAATGTCATCAATCGCAACTCGCATTTCGAGGATAGAATATGTATATCGAGGTGATGTATCGCACGTTATGAGCTTTACGGAATCTTCCTGCGCCGCGGATCAATAACAGCCGTTGCGTATAGTAACACAACCAGCTGATCGCCTCTGTGATCTGCGATATTGAATATGTTATTTACGCTGTTCGTTCATACCTTTTTTGTACTCTTCAGATATATACATGGTAATAAAATACACGCAATGTCTTTTTTTTTTTTTATACGGGTAATAGCGAATAACGACTCGAAGCGAGAGTAAACACGAAAGTCGATTCTTTCTTCCAAATTTTTCGTTTCAAAACTCGACATTTTCGTAATAGAACAAATATTAGACTATATGTGTGTATACTCTTACAATTAGTTTTTGTACACGTATAAAAGATATATAATATATAATAGTCTTGCTTACGTACTTGGTGTATGCACAAAATGTATCATATATAGATTTTTTTTTTCTTTTATAAATATGCATTCATAACATCGTGCAAAATATCCGCAATGACAACGATATCGAAAGCGATAGAACTAGATTTTATAATCTATTATCTATTATACCGCGCGACACACAATATCCACAGATATAAAATTTAATATTTGGTGTTTTTCCTAAACAAGTTATCAAGCTATCGAGCGTGTTTTTATTTTCGAAATAAATGAACGTTCTAGTATCCGTTCTCCGATATGTGCTTGTCGTCTTATCTTTATATAGACCAAACTACAACTTGTCTATATAAAAATAATTAAATATTAATTAATTTAATTGAATTGTATAGGAAGAACTGACATTCTGCTTTCAAGCCACAAAATTGCATATATTTGTTGGTATAAAATTGATATTTTTAAAGCATTGTGAGATTAATAGCATCTATTCGGTGTTTTTTTTTTTTATTGTCAACTGTAAATTTTCAATAGATTAGAGACGTGTCAATTATTCTTTAAACTTTAAACCAAACAATTTTACAGGTATCAATGAGAATTATCTGATTTATTGATTGATACTGTGACTCGATCGCAATCTTGCTTTTGTGTATGAAATATATGGGAAAATTATATTTGAACGAGATTGTATTTTTATATTGACATTCTATATTTACCGTGATAACGCTAATGAATATGTCGAATATGAACCTTATTCGATAAACCAAGACTATTATATTCGCGTGAAATTTTGATTTCAATGTGATTTTGATGCGGAAGGATATTACGATAAAAGACATTTTCTCGAGTGAGAGATTATTTTTTCGCAGACGCGAATACACAGTGTGAATACTCGTATATCGAGTCTCGTATATCGATGCAACATCTCTTTCTCGTAATGTGTGTTTATCGCCAATCGTTATCGTCAATGCAAACACAATGCACTCGTCTCAATACCCTCCCATAAAGTTTAAGATTATTAAGGTTACAAGTGTCTGCGCGCACGCACATGTCTCACTTTCTAGTTTGTCTCTTTTCGAAAGCAAACAAAAGATATTAAAAAACTGTGACACATCTCTTTCTCGTAATGTGTGTTTATCGCCAATCGTTATCGTCAATGCAAACACACAATGCACTCGTCTCAATACCCTCCCATAAAGAGTTTAAGATTATTAAGGTTACAAGTGTCTGCGCGCACGCACATGTCTCACTTTCTAGTTTGTCTCTTTTCGAAAGCAAACAAAAGATATTAAAAAACTGTGACGTACCAATTTTATTTTATTTTGACTTTACTTAATTTATAGAGAATTTAAAGCTTAAAATAAAAATTTATGTCCACAAATATTTACTAGAGATCGCTCTCGATCAGAGCAGATTATATCATAGTTTTGATAATATTGTTTCAAATATTTTTTTTCGCGTCTCGTTTTTTACAA